GAGGCCACCAGGAGAACAAGGCCACCAGGAGCCGGAGGCCACCAGGAGCCAGAGGCCACCAGGAGCCAGAGGCCACCAGGAGCCAGAGGCCACCAGGAGCCGGAGGCCACCAGGAGAACAAGGCCACCATCCGGTTATGGTTCTGATCCAGTTCTGGTTCTGATCCAGTTATGGTTCTGATCCAGTTCTGGTTCGGACCTGGTTCTGGTTCTGGATGGAGGTGCAGAATCTGCTGTTGGAGCAGCTGGTGGAGGAGAACAGAGGAGCTGAAGGAGGCTTAGATGCCAGGATAACAAAATGGCCGACTTTGAAGAAGGTTTAGGAGCAGACGTGTTTTTCTATCTCATCAACAGACGATCTTCCAGGTTATGGATGCTGACATCATCATAAACGACGCCATGATCTTGAACGTTCCCCAGGTGTCTGCAGACTGGATGTTATTAAACTCAACTCTGTTTCTGAACGTTTATTAGAAGGTTTCAAAGTCTAAATTATATCAGAATTCCTTCTAACTTTGGTTTGAAGATCTTTCCAGTTTAATGAATCCATATTTTCCTATTTTCTACTCAATATAACGACATCAGAGGAGGTGGACCTTCAATCCGTCCAGCCGCTGAAGTTGATCTTCTCTGCATATTAATGATTCATGGATCAGCCAATCAGCTCTCTGGTTCCTCAATCTTCTCACTGAAGTCCTCCTAACATCTGTTCAGTTCAGGAGCTCTGAAGGTCTGAGGAGCTTTGAGAAGAACTTTGATCTACTGAGGAGAGATGTTTCCTCAGTGAGAGCTGCTGATGGTTCCTGCTTAGCGAGGCCCCGGGGTCCTCCTATTGGAAAGTCCTCCTGATGATGCAGGAGATGAGAGAGAGGAACATCAGAGGATCAGAGAACCTTAGAAGCCAGACCAGTACAGAGGAACACAGACAGCTCTGTGAGTGTGACTACAGAGGAGGTCCTGACCTCTGACCTTTGACCTGCTAACCTGTAGAATCAGTTACAAACTCCAACCACCAAGGATCCGGTCCAGGTAGACCGGATCCTCAGGAATCGAACACGCCGATGGTGGGATGGTCAGGGAGGACGGTTTCCTCTCAGACCTTCAGCTTCTAGGACTCTTTTCAGGCAGAGGATGTAGGACCTGCTGCCGGACAGCAGGGGGCGGTATGACTCTGAAATCCGATCTCTGGGGTGATTAGAAGCTGTGGATCAAAGTTAGATGTTTTTAACCTAAACAGAGTGAATAACTGACACAGCATTGGCGTCATCATGGTACGGGCCACGCAGGAGGTAAATGATGGAAGCCTCTGATTGGAGGACGTGTTGAAGCTGCAGGAGAGAGTGTTTAACTTGATGTGATGTCCACCTGCTGCACAGTCAGAAACCAGGCTGAAAATAAATAGCTCCTCTCAGAAAATAAAATAAATGTATTTATTACTAAAACAAACAATGTTTTCATTGTTGGATGCTGTTTACACTTGGAGGGGGGGCAGCCCCCCTCCAGCTGCTGCAGCTGGTGGCCGTCAGTGACCCTGCAGCTCCAGGATCTATGTTTAGATGCAGCTGCAGCCGGAGAGCCAGACTCCAGGAGACCTTGTCTTAGGAGAGGCTGAGAGGATTCCAGCACTGATCCAAACATCTGATTGCAGAAGGTCAGACGTGAAGAAGCAGCAGGAGCCTCAGTCTGTCCCTGATAGCAGACAGAAACACCTGATGAGGCTGATTTACAGCAGCAGCATTCAAATCTGACAACAGCTGTTTGATTCCAGCTGCTGGCTAAAAGTATTGACATTTGACATTTTTATTCATACATTTAAACAGATAAAGAGAAAAATAATTATTTATGCACTCAGTCTAAAATAATCAGTAAGCAGAAGCTTTCTGCCTATAGCTGCATATTTAAAAAAACTAAAGAGAGAAGCTGGTTCATGCAGTTAGAATTTTTTTTTCTTTTAGTTCATCCCCCAAAAAAAGAAAAGAATAACTAAATCTTTACAGCTGAATTTATCAGTTTTTCTTTAGTTCTATTCAGATTTGATAGAAAATGGTAATTTGAACTTAAATTAGGTCAAAAATATGTAAAATTACTAAATTCTGAATGTATAATTCAATTTAATTCAGTTTATTTATATTGCGCTAATTCACAACACAAGTCATCTCAAGACACTTTACAGATATTTATTGAATTTTAATTAAACTTAATTGAATATAATTTCCACTTCATGCAGCTATATTAATATATTTGAATCCCTTGCTCTGTTTTTTTATATCTTGCTTTTCTGGGCCCCCATGGGGCCCCTACCCGGCCCCTGGTAGATTTTTGTCTAGAACTGCCATGGTTAATAAGTGTTTCTTCATACTTCTATGTTAGGGAACCAGGGAACAGCACAGAATGGGTCTTTGGCACGTGACGTCACGCCCTGTGCATTGTGGGTAATTAGCGCCATATTGGGGGGGGGTACCGTGGGAGAAATTAGAGCTGCTATTTAAGCGTCCCGAGGAGATTTACCTTTTCTTTTGTAAATTCTTTTTTACAAACTTTGTCCCAGTTGTCCCCATTTTTTTTAAATCAAAACCAACAAAAAAACCACCTATATATTTGCTATGAACCTTAATATTCCAGGGCTCACAAGATTAAATTCATTTACAATTAAATTCTATTCAGTTTATTTCTATAGCTCCAATTCACATCATGTCATCTCAG